TGGTGTTTCCCCATTTTCCCCACAGAAATTCTGCATTCGCCGTTTTTTCTTAGTTTCAATCTACTGAAATGTTCATTGAGGTGAAAGTGTCCTGTTAAAAACCCCGTGACAATCCGAAGATTGTTCTTACTTAAATCCAGGAAGATCTTTGATTTCTCTTGGTCGTAAGCCCCCAGAAACTTCTTCGAGTATCTTAGACCTTTGCAAGATTCCCATTATTTTAATAGATACGCGGTAGTTAAGTTTTTACTAGTAAATGTACAAAACCAACAACCACCGCCTAGTATCAAGATAAAAACAAACATGAATACTTATTTAGCAGTAGCTTTTAGTGTTTTCTTCATAATTTGTAAGGAGATAAATAATAAGAAAAAACTGCGAAGCAAAAGGTTATGAAAATTGTATCGACATGCACCGAGGGGCTAACTTGTTCGACTCTGCTCGGAGACAGATCCAGGACCCTAATTATGTAACTTACAGAGCAGAATTCTGCAACAGCGTATATGACGTTTATTTTCGCTTAGCGGGCACTTGGCTACCGATTTGGGTATTCTCGTTTGATGCACTTAACGTATTTATCCATTGCGCGAAGCGATTTGAAAACGGCTACCTTAAAGGTTCGTTTTGCTTGTCGAACTGACAATCCTCCTCCTAGGTGCCTTCTCTGTTGAGGTTGGCGATTAATATGACATATGACTCTCTGTCCAGAGCTTGGTGAATAAAAGTGTTTCCGTCGGTGTGGGTCCAATCTCTTATGTTACGTAGCTATGATTTCTTTTTCCTCCCTATGCTACGTTTTCCATCGATTTTTCCTTCTATTATGAACTGTATTTCTTCATATTCTGAGTGCCGTATTATATGTCCAAGTTAGGAAGTCTTTTTGATTTTAATTGTGCCTGTTAGGTGTGCACGAGTTTGCATTCTGTTTAAAACTTCACAGTTTGGTGTTCTGGAGGTCCAACTTATCCTCAGCATCCGACGACCGACGATACATCCACATTTCAAACGCATTAAGGCGTTTGATGTCTTCTTGTTTTAGCGTCCATGTTTCGCATCCATACTGAAGTAGGGGCCATATGTAACATTTTAATGTTCTTAGCCTCACTGGTATAGCTATTCCCGGATGGCATAGAAACTTCCGCATATTGAGGAAACCTCCTTCTTCTGATTTCCTTAGAGTGGTCTAGCTGGCTGTTTAATTCCCCGCCCAAGTTAATATATCTCTGCGTGGTTTCGAGATGGACGCCGTTTATCATTATGTCGGTGTTTTCATTGTCTTGCGGATGTCTGTTGAAAACCATAGATTTTGTCTTGACGGTGTTAATCTCTAGACTCATCCTAATACTTTCTTCTGTCAGTTTGTCCATTAGGGTTTGCAGATTCTGCTAACACCACGGTGTCGTCTGCGTATCTTATATTGTTTATAATCTTTCCATTTATTTTAACCCCTTCTGGAAAATTTTGAAAAGATTTTCGGATTATATATTCGGCATAAACGTTAAACAATAATGGTGATAATATGCATCCCTGTCTGACACCATTTTGTATGTCTACGTATCTTGTACTTCCTTTTTCTCTTCTGACACAACCTTTGTAATTCCCGGTATGTGTTCCTTATAATAATAATATCTCTCGCGTCCAAGCCTACTTCAGTGAGAACTTCTAGTAATTTTTCGTGCTGTATTCGATCGAAAGTTTTTTGTAGTCAACGTAACATACGTACAGCTTCCTTTGGACTTCCATATACCTCTCTGCTATTAACGTTAAACTCAGGATGGCTCCTCTTGTCCCTGTTCCCCTTCTAAAACCGTATTGTGATCTAGTAAGGAAATCATCACATTTGCTGTATACTCTATTAAATATTATTCGCATAAAGATTTTCGCTGCGTGGCTCATCAGACATTGTTCTGTGGTCTTCGCATTTCTTCGCGTTATTCTTTTTGGGTAAGGCTATGAAGGTAGATGTTACCCAGTCTTCGGGGATTGTTCCGATTTCATATACTTTATTGAAAAATTGGGTCAGTATTTTGATAGAATTATCCCTTATGTGTTTGAAGTGCACTGCTGTTGTGCGTTCTCTTGCTCTTTAGTGAAAACTACTTCTCCTTCTATAAATTCCTCAATAAGTATTTGATAATTTACGACTTAGCAGCTATAAACATTGTTCAAAACATCGAAAATGCTCAGGAGCGTCTCCAACATTTCCCTCTATATATAGAGGGAAATAATAAGAATAATGACAAATCCGTAGAAAAATGGGTTGTCATAACTCAACAATAGGTTATGAAATTCACGTAAAATTGACATTTTTCATTGTTTTATTCACATTTGACTATTAGATACCTGAGAAATTGCGATGCTGTCAATATGTGCTGAACGTGTATCCAGAAAACGATTCGCACGGCAACGAAATTACCAAAATCGACTGCTTGGCGTTCCGCTCATCAAATTTTTTGCTTACTGCTTTGAAAGCGTAATGTTTTTATGTCAAAGTTACAGAATTCGGACGCTCAGCGTATATGACGTTAATTTTCGCTTACCGCGCTAAACTAATTTTCGCTTACCTAACTATCGATTTGGGTATTCTCATCTGACGCGCTTGGCGTCTTTACTGATTGCGCTAAGCGATTCGAAAACGGCTACCTTACAGGATAGTTGTCGAACTGCCAGTAAAAATCGAAAAAATTGTGATTTTGTGCGTTATCTTTCTCTTTAGTGAAAATTACTTCTTCATCTATAAATTACTCAATAAGTAATTGATAATTTACGACTTGGCGGCTATAAATATTGTTCAAAACATCGAAAATGCTGAGAAGCGTCTTCAACATTTCCCTCGTATAATAAGAATGTTGACATATCTATTGAAAAATAGGTTGACGTAACTCAACAATATGTTACGAAATTCACGCAACATTGACATTCTTTATCGTATTATGCACATTTGACTATTAGATACCTGGGAAATTGCGATGCTGCCAATATGTACTCAACTCGTATCCAGAAAACGATTCGCAGGGCAAGAAGAACCAAAATCCACTGCTTAGCGTTCTGTCGAATGGCTACTTTCGTTTGCCAATTTGAAAGCATAACGTTTTTAAGTCGAAGTTCCAGATTTTGGGCCAGATTTAGAAAATTTTACTCTGCGCGTTCGGTTCTATTCGTATCTGTTCGTTAAGGCTAAAATGTTCGAGTCTGGACGCACCTTTAGAAATCGTCTTAAGTATACCCTTTTGCCTTTATGTGGAGTACTAAGATTTGTACTGCATACGTTACAAATCACAATTGGATTATCCTTTTTTATAATAATAGAACTACACACCGCAAAATAAACCAAACTCGAATTATTCAATTACTAATCTAGCAAAAGCTTTTCCTCAATGTATTCATATCATTTTAAGCAAATGTTAGTAATTGCTTCTATTTTTTTAAGAAGTAGCTTTAGCTAGAAGCAACTTCTGTAATTTAAAGCAATTGCTGAAAGCAAAAGAGATTACTTAAATTTTTCTTCAATTAGTTTCAAACATTTACTTGAATTTCAAAAGAAAAAGCAATTGCTAAATTTTTATTCATTAGGTTCATATATCCAAGATTCTTCGATATATTAGTTAGTGGATTACTGCTATTAACAATAAAACGGTCATAAAGTATTTACTTGGTGGAGTCAAGGAGGAACTAGAACTGTGTTTAGAAGCTCACATCAAAATTAATTTAAAATGTTGTAGTTTTAAAGTAACCAAATTATGTACATTATAAAATTCTTATGTACATTATGAATATTCTCGATGTAGATCGTCTATAGATTGTCTTAAGGCGAACGTGGACTGAATCAACCTCGCCAGGTCCACTTAACTAAGAGCTATCGATGGGTTTCGCTTGATACCAGGTGTTTCAAAAAACATGTACCATCTCTCGTGGGGAGATTCCTGATGTAAAAACAAGATTTATTTCTCATATCAACATAGGTCCGCTTCTGCTTTGTTTCGTAGCTACAGGGTGTTAAGTTTTAAAAAATTTTCGATTTATTACAATTTTTTTCTAAGCACTTTTAGCGTTTCGAATGAAATTATGAGGGTAAAAGTTCCTACGAATGGGATATATTTTAAAGCTAAAAAGTGTCGCCATATTCGCCAGGGAAGTGCATATGGGTTATCAATGGAACATTTTTCTAAAAAAAGAATGTACGCCACTGATATTTTTTCTCTTGTTAGCGAAATAGTGTAAGCAGTTTAATGTGGATTAAAAGGTGTCTCTTGATATTTTGTCCATTTCGGCCTCCCTTATGAGATAAACGCATTTTTATTAATTTGCCTTGATCCAAATCTAATAGCAATTCTTTAAAAATTTTAATATCATTAACTTGCATGACTTTTTATTAAGTATTTATTGATTCATTATCAAAAAATATTAAAAAAAGTTCCTATAGACATGCATATGGAAATGCATAGCTTGGTTTGGTTAGAGTTACAGGATGTTAAAACTTTTTAAAATTAGGTCTTTTGTAATTATCTTAAATATCATTATTTTTTTATTTGAAATTTCTGTAGGTTGGACTAATACTAATAATATTTAATAGTAAATTAGGTAAAATATAAAAATTTTTCATTTTAATTTTATTTTAATTTTATTAATTGTGATTAATAATATTGCGTTTATCTCATCATCGACAAAATATCAACAGATAACTTTTAAGTGGTATTAGACGGCCTACAAAATTTTGAGAAATCAAAAGAAAAAAAATCAGTGGCGCACATGTTTTTTTAATATTCCAGTGATAACCCATATGCACGTCCCTGAATAATTTATCGACACTTTATAGTAACTTTTACCCTCAAAATTTCATTCAAATCACCAAAAGTACTTGGAAGGAAATTATAATAAATCGAAAGGTTATTAAGATTTTAACACCCTGTAGCTGCGAAACAAAGCAGAATCGGACCTATGTTGATATGGAAAAATAATATAATTTTTACGTGAGGAATCTCCTCACGAGAGATGGCACATGTTTTTTGGAACATCCTGTATAGATTTAAATGTATCCCCGAGCATTGAATTGACGTCGCCACCGTCGCGCGTCGATCGGTCTGGATCTTAAAGTAAAAACTGTCGACAGCTCTTAGTTAAATGGACCGGGTGAAGTCGATTCAGTGTGCGTTCACCTTTAAGTTTCATTCGTTCCAAAAATAAATTAAGTAAATAGCTAAAACACGTATCATCACAAGGTCAGACTTTAGTCGTCAGATCCAACGGAGTGGGCCTGACTAACGTTAGGCCTTTGAGACCTCGATTTTCCGAGTCGCAGTCGCTCTCCTCGTCTCCTTCACTCCCATGAAACCTTTCTGTCATCACTGAAATACCGGATCTTTCAGACTGAGCTGGGGATGAACCTCTTTCGCTCATAGATCTCATGCTTAGATCAATTGGGGTGTCTTGTACTGGACTCACGTGTGGCGTGGTGATGGTTTTTACATCAACTTCCTCGTCCTCGTCATCTTCTGGATCTTCTGGGGGCGTGGAGGTACGTTGGAGTTGCAGTACAGCGTCTAAGTACTCTCTTTTGACTTCACGATTCACCGTCCTCACGATTTTTTCGTTGTTATTGTTATTGATGGTGTGGTTGGGTAGGGCTGGTTGGAGTAATCCTGGATAGAATGGAGGTGGAAACAGGAATCCAGGCGGCGGAAGAAACGTTGGCGGTAATAATCCTGGAATGAGTGGTAATCGTCGAGCATCTGGAACTTCGACGGACGAATCAGAGTTATGCGATTCGGGACTGCTAACTGAAGGCGATGCAGAGTGTCTGAGAGGTTCTTCAATTCCAAAAAGCAAGAGTTCTTCTCTGGTTCTGGGCAAATGCAGTAAAGGCGGAGGAAAAGACCCGGCGCTCAGGAGTCTCATTCCCATTTGTTGATTGCTGACAGGTGTGTTCATCGGGGGCTGCAGTAACTCCTGATTGCCACCGTCCTCTCCATTCTCTTGCATTTGTTTCTGCTGTTGTTCCTGCAGTAAACAATGGATTTTGAACCAGTTTGATCGTCTACCATATCTGGACCCGCTCTTGGACATCCCCACTAGCATACACTTGCGTAACCTACAAGCTTTGCAGGCGGTTCTGTTTTTCTTGTTGATGATACATTTGTTGTTGTTCTTACAGTCGTTGATCGAGCTGATGTTGTTGTAGGATCGTCCGAAGAAAGACTGAAACAAGAAAAAAAAAAGACGCGTTAAAAACAAATGTTTCTGGTGATTTATTTTGATTTTGTCATGTAAAAAACGTACACTAACAAATAAAAACAAGTTTATGATTCTATCGACCTTGTGATGTCGAAAGTTCGTAGTTGTTTTAAAAATGTGGGAAAAATAAAAGGAATATTTGTTCTCGATAATTGAATTGACCGCAGGTGTCGTTGCATATTGATGAAAGTCGACATATTTTGAAATTGAACTGACCGATTTGTAGATAGACATGGACTTGTGAACTTAACCTTATAAAGCTCAATTTATCATATCATTTTTTCAATTTTCGTAATATACATTACTTTAACGTTATTAAACAATATAAAAAGCACACTCTTAATTTGTTGTTGCATAATTTTCTAGAAATATGAATTAATAAGTTGAATATTTCTGTATATTATTTTGTAAAATTTAATATTAAAAAGCAATTTTCTAGAGTCATAAAATTTTCAGATACTTCTGGCAGCTGTAATTTTACCATTTATCTGTAATTATTTTTTTATTTTATTGTGTATTGCATTTATTTGGCTATGTTTCTGAGGAGTAAATATTATATTTTTACATCCAATTTGAAAAACACAACTCTTGAATTTAAATAAATATTACAAATGTCAGATGACAAATTAGCTCCACTTGTCTTAGAATTTCTCTCACCCCTATAACTTTTTTATTTTTATGGACAAAAAACAACTAGATTTACTATGTTAGTATATGACATAAATTAGGATTGATTGACGTATTCAATTGTTTTGGTCACTTCCGATTTCACCGGAAATGACTACAACTTTTGATTTTTAAATGATACCTTCAGTACCATATTTTTACTTTATTCGATAGAAAATGACACTCTAAATAGAAGGACATTTGAGCATCTTTTAACGGACCAGGACAACAAACGAAAAACATTAGACAACCAAATCTATTTTAACGAGGCTCCTTAATTAGCAATTAACGGTTTTAACATAGACATGGCATTCTAGATTGAAATTTAGAACAGGATTTTTTAAAGCGAAAATGTCAAAAGTTGACATATGTCATTCTATTCACAGTGTCATTTTCTATCGAATAAAGACAAAAAACTCTTCAAAACAGTTAAAAGACATGTAGGTGGAGCCCCCTACAAATAGGAGTCATACTGGCATCAAAATCAAATTTCTCATGTCAAATAACTTCCAGACACCAATTTTCATCGAAATATCGCAGTTACTTTACGTTACGTTTACTCTCAAATCGAAATAAAAATGAAATTTCTACACCTTGTATCTCCGAAACTAAGCATTTTAGAACATATATTTATACGAACTTTTTTACTTATTTTTATCTGCAGAATATGCTGCCGAAGTTTCCGGAATACAGTTCGGACCACCCTGTATATCTTGTTATAATTCATATATCCAAACTGTCTGGCTGAAGAACTTTTGTACATCTATTTATCTATCTTTGCTTATAATTGTTTTAGTAGATTCTATTACATTTTGTTAACTCAGCTGGTCACAAAATGTATATCAAGGTCGAATCTTCAAATCGTTTTCCATTTCGTTTCTTCACGCCAAATTAGCCGGTAAAAAAATCGAAAATAAACGCCCTAAAAACGGTAGCGTTTCGGCACGATTGCGTCACGTCGCCGACGCGTCATTTTCAATTTCCGATTCCGTCGAGCGTGAAAAGTCGGTCGGACGGAGCGCCGGTAGTTGCCACGCATGACCGGGCGATGGCGCTGTGCCATACGTAAAACGGGATTCACGCGCGTTTCGCTTTTTTACCTTTGTTTGCTCTTTTTCGCTCTCTTTACTATTTGCATGGTCTCGAACTAAATTATTTAATGTGCATTAAATATTGTATCATTTGCTTAATAGTATACCGTGTGTTTCTCAAAAGTGGTCCACCCCTATAACTTTTTTATTTTTTCAAATAAAAATACTAAATTTGTTATGTTAGTATATATAACATAAATGAAAATTTATACCCGTATATATTCAGTTGTTTTCGGTTACCTCCTGTTGTCACCGGAAATTAGTATAGAGTTGCTAACTTTCAAAATAAAAAATAGAGGACGGGATGGTAAAAAAGAGGCACAAGTGAAATATTTTTGAAACCTCGCCCAAATGTCAGTAAACGTAAAATAAGTAAACGTAAAATACAACCGTACAAACGAGTGGGAGTAACGAAAGACACAGATTAACCATTTTTTAAAGCCATTGTGGCCATACACAAACATTTTTTAGATTTTAAGTTTTTTATGTAAAAAAGAGGATTTTTTCAATACGCGGGAGAAAACAGGACAGTGAGATCAAAAAAAGGTCTGTTCTCTGGAATAGAGGACGTTTGGCAACACTAAATTAGTACAACTTTTGATTTTTATGACACCTTCGTAATTTTTTACTTCATTTGATAGAAAATGGCATTTTGAATAGAATTACATATCATATGTCATCTTTTAATGTTTTGAGTTAAAAAATAGCAAATAAAGTTAAAGTGTCAGAGCCATAAAAATGTATCAACAATTTGACTCCAAACACCAAGTGTGTGGTGCCAAATTATTCATAAAAAAAGACTTTTTCCAAACACGGTAATGAGCCTGCCCTTGATTAAAAATTAGTGTTTTTAACAGAACCATGGCACTCTAGATTGAAATTTCAATTTATTCAACAATTCCAATTTATTTTATGAGGTTCGGGAAAATTTGTACAAATTTGAGTTTCTATAAACAAAGAAATGTTTCAAACATTTTATCTAGTTTTTATTAGTCCTAAACATGGTTTGGGCACATTGAAATAGTTTTTTTTTTCTAATTTAGAGGCATTAGTTCTTTAAATTTCGAGTAAATAACGTTTTTCTAAATAAAGTTCAGCTGTTGAATATAAAAATAAAATACGTAAAATAAGTTTTTTCCTCATTTGAATAGCGCCACGTTCCGTCTCATGTTCCGGTCGTACTTTCCTCCTTTTTTTCTTCATTCTCCATTTGAATATAATTGTACGAAATTAGTCAACGATTACACAGTTGGGCGGCGGTGCGAGGCAACAGTGTTAAAGTGCGTTGCACGAGATCGAAGACGGATTGGCCAACGTCCGACCCGCTGAACTGGATGGTCGGCGTCCTCGAAGGACTCCCGATGCAAAGACAACGCCCTAAATACTTTAGAGCATTATGAAAAGTAGCATAATTACAGTGTGTGACCTATTTCTTGAAATGATGAAAATCCACAAATAATTAATAAAGTTATTTTTGCCCATTGTTTTGGCCTTAAAATGTCTAGAAACATTATTTCACAGTTTAATAGAGTCAGAATAGTAACACTGTCTCAACAGGGCTACCGGCAAGTTGCAATAGCTGAAATTGTAGGAGTTAACCAAAGCGATGTTTCGCGAATATTAAAAAATAATCAGGGAGACAAACGAGGTTACAGACCGACCTGGAAGAGGTAGAAAGAGAGTTATTACTGTTGTGCAAGACCGTCAAATATTCCTAATTGCACGGTGCAATCCCTTGCTTTCTAGTACTGCTATTAAAAATGAGTTAGCTCGCCTTGAAGGAGTAAATGTTTCAAGAAAGACCATAGCAAGAAAACTCAATGACAGACGATTACATTTAAGGAGGCCTCTATGTGTTTCGAAGCTTAATTTACAGCACAAAATTACGCGACTACAATGGACTGAGGAGATGAGAGCAAATGGACCTAATTGGACCCTCGTCATTTTGTGATGAAACAAGAATAGGCCTAGTATCAGACTCGCGACGAACTATAGTCTGGAGAGCATCTGGAAGACGAGCACGCTTAAATGCAGCTTAAATGGGCAGGTATAATGCATGGAGCTCGAACTCCACTTGTTTTTATTGATGGCACAATGACAGGTGCCTCATATCTTAGAGACGTTTTATAGCCTATTGTGCGTCCATTTCGAGGGGCAGTGGGGGATGAATTTGTTTACATGGACGATAATGCTCCTCCCCATCGCACTTTAGCGGTTCGCGAATTTTGTGAGGAAGAGGGTATAAGAAAACTGTGGTGGCCACCGATGTCTTCAGATATGAATGTGATCGAGCATGCTTGGGACATGCTAAAACGCCATATTGCCAAAAGGAATGATCTCCCCCCCCCGTACCTTAAATGAATTGAAAATTGCTGCGCGCGAAACATGGGAAGCCATTCCTCAACATCTTCTGGACAACTTAATTGAGAGCATGCCACGTCGTCTCACAGCTTGCATTGAGGCTCGAGGAGGCAATACAGACTATTAGTTGTGAGAAATAATTAAAATGTACACTGGGTAGAAGAACACTCACTCACACTGTGAGAAATAATTGAAATGTGACATACTGTACGTAAGATAAAATAATTTCAAATCACCTAAATAACATTGTCTTATAAAGTTTTGGAATAGGCGCCCAAAACAATCCGGGCGTTTTGCATACCTACCGACCATTACATAATCGCTCCCATTCAATCAGAGCGTAAAAAGGATGACTAACGTTACGCAACCGCGAACGGAAGGAACTCATTTGAATTGTTCTTAGGCCGGAAGACGTGCCTCGATTCTTCTTCTTTTTATCCTTGTTCCCCTTTTCTTGCGCAAATCTAAGCCTTCGCGCGAAAGAAATTGTTTGTTTTACATCGGCGAAGAATTTTTTAATATGTGTACGATGGCGCAAGCGAGATAAACGATTTAGATTCGGCTAACAAGCACGAAAGTGAAAAGATGCAGCCAGAGATGATGTAAATATTAAAGATTTGGAGATATATTTATATTTTTTATTTATATCTTTTTTTATGTAGTAATAAAATAAATAAAAAAATTTCCATAGCAACTGTTAAAATTGCCTTATATCTGTCAAAAACAGTAGATAAAATAGTACTTTAACCGAAAGGTTAAAAACTTTATTTCTTCACGGACATTTTTAATTGCTTCCATTTTTGAAAATTTTTGTATTCCTTTTCATAAGTTATTCCGAAATTAAATGGAAGTAGTTTGGATATAGCGTTTGTCGCCTCAGCCTGAATATCTGTTGGTCATTGGAGATATCGGACTCTGACAGTTTGGACGCTTCTTAAAGCTATTCATTTATATTATTGATTATTGATATTATTACATGATGATGCTTCTTAAAGCATCAATATGCAATCGGTGGGATCGAAAACTGTGATGAACCACCTAGAAGCACTGCCCTGGCTAGGTCAAAGCGGGATCACTCTGTGCTGAGTGCCCGGCCACAGCAATCTGGTGGACAACCAAGAAGCGGATAGATTCGCCAAAGAGCTGACCAGGGGAGAGGCCGTGGCAGACGACCCGCCACTTGTGACGATCAACACACTGAAGGAACCACCATCAAGGCCAATAGCAAGAGACTTGACACCGTGAGGACTGCGCTACAGCTCGAAAACTGTGGCCAGTGGTAGATAAAAAAGAGGCAAAACAACTACTAGATCACAGAAAGAACTTATTACGCAAAATTATAGGTGTAGTTACTGGAAACTGTCCCATGGGGGTAAACCTCGTGAGATGGAAGACTACAGAGAATGCGGAGAGGAAGAAGAAACTATAGATCAACTGCTGTACCACTGTCCGGCACTGGAAAACCGACGCTTTAAAGTTTTAGGGCACGATTTTTTGGAGGGACTAGAGGAAGCAGCACATCGGAAAAAATGCGGGATTTGCAACAATAATGACAATAAAAATCAAATGTAAATGTATAAGATGGATTTCGCTGCAGTAACGTAATTTGTAGTGAATTTTATCTAGGAATAGGCGACTTTTGCTGCAGTTTGGGACTGTGTTTATGTCATTAAGCCATTTTTTTAAATGGATAAGGCGGATTTTGCAACTTGATTTCTTGTACATAAATATTTCTTCATTTATTTTCTGTGCAAACGAGTGGGAGTAGCAAAAGACACAGATTAACCATTTTTTAACCCATTGTGGCGATAGAGGAATATTTTTTAGATTTTAAGTTTGGTATGTCAAAAAGACGACTTTTCCAATGCGAGAGAAAAGAGGACAGTGATATCAAAAAGAGGACTGTCCTCTGGAATAGAGGATGGTTGGCAACCCTAACCTAACCTAATCTATCCTGAGACTAAATGGTCCTTTACCAAGAAGAATGAAGGGGTTAGATAAGTGTGACCTATTTTAATCTTCTTCCAAAATTTTCTTTACTTCTTTCTTATTTGGAATGCATATTTTCCACTGTCACTTTAAACATTAATAAGAAACAACATAATGAACCATGTCAATGTCACTCGTAGAGATCTTTAGGACTTTAAAAGCCAACGAGCTAGTTTTTACGCAAAACATTCCGTTGCACATTTCAATTTGCACAAACCGCAAACGGCAACCATATCTCAGCCGGTATAAATAGCCACGATCTGATTTTATGCTTGTTGAACCGCGACAGCGTCAAGTGTCACGTCCAATTTGAGCGGCGAGCCGATGATTTGGACGAAAAACGCGCGTCCGGAGCCAGAGGTCGCGCCAAGCAGAGCGCGTCCAAGATCGAATATTGTTGTTATTAGGCGATCTTGAGATATGCAACGCGGCGTCGGCGTTTTTTCTTCGGCTTTGTTTTGATATCTATTGGTCCGTGTTTATTTTAATTGTCTGGTTTATAAGAAATAACGCAAAGAAGAATGATTTAAGGAATTAACGCAAATTATGGTTTGTTCAATGGGTCTTTTTTGCTAGTTTACTTAAGTAAGAGAGAGAGAGAGAGAGAGAGAGAGAGAGAGCTCTTTTTTTGTTTTGATTTCTGCAGGATGTAAGAAAACCGCCTATCGAAATCTCTTCTTTGCGGTGAGCCTGTAGAGGGTAAGAGGAGACAGTTTTGACTTTACCAGCCAAACCAAACCAAACTCACAGACAGCAATTTTCATTAAAATGAAATTATTTGGTAAAAATCCAAATAAAAATGAAATTTCTACACCCTGTATCTCCGAAACTAAGCATTTTAGGACACACATTTCTTATACAATTGTCATTCTTTGACGGCATTTTTTTGATCTTACGGTATTTTTGTAATAATATCATGGTTACAAAAGATTATAATGTGTGCATCTTATAAATATGTTGTATGTTGTATTTTGATTTGTTGTATTTTGATTGATATGTTGTTTTTTGAATACACTAATACAAAAAATGCAAAATAATGTACAATACATACAAATTTCGATTAAACAAGGAGAAAAAGAGAAACAAAGAAAATGTATATGGTTCAACGATCACATACTTATTGTAATATCGACGACATATTGCCAACATTACCCTGCCTGAATAACCCGGTTAGAAGCAATTGTCGCAATGACTTTAATCCATTAGTGTTTGTTGTTACCGAATTACGATTGCTGGTATCACAGTTGATTGTGTAAAAAATAAAATAAAAGCCTGGTTAATAGGTAACGCATAGGTGGTGTAGGCTAATGGTTAATTCGTTTTATTTGCATGGGAATATATAACTAGTAAATAATTAAAACATTAAAATATCTGTTCTTTACACTTGTTTTTCTTTCAGTGTCTATCCCGAAATATGGAAAAAAGCTATTATTAACACTGTATTAACACCTTTCTGTAAAATTTCCAAACCTTTAAATAATAATCGACCTAAGACCCGTGAATATTTTACCAGCAATTTCTAAAATTATAGAAAAACATCTACATAATCAAATCGTTTCATTTGTAGATTCAAATAAACTAATACCTGAATGCTAATCTGGTTTTCGTAAGAACTACAGCACTACCATTTGTCTACTGAAGCTGGTTAATGCTATTAGAACAAATCAAAATAATAAAAATATGACTTGTCTTAGCTTACTAGACTTTAGTAAAGGATTTGATACTCTAGATTATTCACTGCACGTAGCAAAATTTCAATATTTTGGATTTTCAGACGGCTCTTTAGAATTGTTAAAAAACCTTTTAAAATATATACCACATTGTGTTGTCATGAAAAGGGGAAGTTTAAAACAAAAATCTAATTATATTCCTATGATTTCTGGGGTTCCCCATTAATTATAATAATTTGGCACAATTTCAGTTAAATTTTGACGACTATCTGAATAAAATTAACAAATATGCTCTGGATCATAATTTAAAATTAAATGCCGGTAAATCTTGTGTTATAATATTTGGCAGTGATATAAACAAAATTACATATTCGGCTGGCATATAGATAATGATGTGATACCCATTGTTTCAGAGACTAAAAATCTTGGAGACTATTTTGATACGCAGCTTTCTTTTCAGGCACATAAAACTACTAAATTAAAGCCTGCTTATATACGTTTGAAGAATTTTTCGTTCTTCGATAGATATATATCCCACCAAAGACTAAGTATCAATTATGTGACACACTTATTTTATCTTTATTTGATTACGGCTATGTTGTTTATGGTACGTCCATAAACGCTATATTCACTAGAAAAATAAAAATACTACAAAACTCGTGTCTACGGTTTTCTTTTAACATTCTTTTTAGAGCTCTAAAACGCCACACCTTAATAATTTATCTATTTTATCCATGACTAACAGACGACAATTTCAATTAATGACATTTATTTATATCGAATTTTAACTACAAAGCAGTCTCCCTATTTGTTCCCATTATTTCACTACATTGACTATGACCATTCGACTAGGCAAGTGCATTATTTTAAAATTCCTCAACACCAAACAGCTAACTTCCAAACTCTTTCAGTTTTACAGCGCCACATTTGTGGAATAATATTTTTCTAATAACTTTAAATTTCAATCCTTTACAGATTATAAAAAACAAATTAAAAATAATTTACTAAATTCGCAAAAATTATAATTTCTTTGACTGATTTGTGAGGTTCTTTTTCTTTTGATATGCCTGTCATTGGTTGCTGTTCCAGAGTTTTTACACTGTTTCATTATGCCTCTCTGCTTATCTCCGCTGATCCCTGATAAAATTATGTTTTCACTTTTTTTAATCTAATTTAGTTTTATTTTTATAATTTAATTTATTCTGATAATTTAACTTATTTCTATTTGGTTTTTGAGGTCGCACTACTCTGGCATTTTGTTTTTGTATCGGTTTTTTAATCTATTAATAATTTATTAATAATAATATGTATTAATCTGTAAATCTAATTGGGTCTAATAGAAATTCGAATTTGAATATGATGGTAACATTTTAATTTAAATTTTAAACGTGCTTACCTTGCAGCCCTCACAAGTAAAGGCACCAAAATGGAATCCCGCTGCTGGTTCACCGCAAACTTTACATGTTTGATTCATCTGAAAAAAAGCGAAAAACATTGTTGATTATTTAATATTAATTGGGGTTTATTAGAAATATCTAAAATAGGAATTCAATGTTCATCGCATAGTTTAAAAATAACGATGTTAAACTATATTTAAAAGAATCCAACAACTATTAACCTTGATGATGAAAAATCTAATTAGAAACCATTTACGTACGTACATATGTAATCACGTTGTTCAAGTGTAATTATAGATTTTCTTTAATTATATATGTGGTGAATAGCCATTAAATTCTCTCAAGACGTTGAAGCATCTTCTGTTCTGGACCAATGATGTTACGGATTAACATCAGGTATTTAAGCTTTGTACAAGTAGAATAAGCCGTATATAATACAATAATCAGTAGGAAGTAGTTAATTTGACAAAACTATTATTACAATACTTACAATAAGGTATACAACATTTTCTTCTATATAAATCGTTAATTTTTTATAAAATATTCAAAGATTTTAAGATAAACGGGCACCTTAAAATTTTGGTGTATTTTAAAGCTTAATATATTTTGTTCTGGTGGATCGATTTTTATGATTTTTTAAGAAATATGTAGTAAAATTGTTTAACTTTTCAGCACTTCTTTCCAAATTAAAAATGAAAGTTCCCATCTGTCAATTATACGGGGGAAAACAAAATGTTGATATTTTGGTGAAAGTTTGAAACACCCTGAGGAATATGTTATGAAAGCAAGGAATTTAAAATTCATTTTATCATCCAGGTATATCATTTACCGTTAATTTGTTTTTTGGTTCATCTCAATAGCTTTATTTTTGTTGGAGATATTCGCTTTTGAAGAAGACACAACAAATTTTCGTAATTTTTACATTAAAATCATGCCTTTGCTTTTGGTCCTAGTCACTAGACTTAGTAAGTTGTGATCAAGCAGGCTTTCTTGATATAAGATTTACTTCGTTTAATATTCTTCTAATAGACCCTTCATACTTCGTCATTTCGTTCCTTAGTGATAAACTTACAATAAGTCGATCGTCTCGATTCGAAGTTCTCATACAAAGGTTCCTGGACTCTAGCATATGAATTTGTCTCGAAGAAGCGATTGTACTATACTTCGTGCACATCTAAATTTGTTAGCTACATAATTTTGATCTCTATCATCTTCAATTAACGCCACTATACTAGGTGTTGCATCGTCGGGCGGGACATAGGAAATCCCATGTAAATTTTAATGGGGTCAATTATTGGCTTCCCTAATTATTTTAGAGAATAATTCTATTTAGGTTTATTGAAGAGCATTAAAACCCACATTCAAAAGAATAACTCTAGATATTTTTGATTAGCTCGTTTACGAGTTATCGCCGGTTTCTTTTTAAATATTTCTCCTTTCTTATGGCCCTGCATTTACTTATGAGCACCAGTCAAGGTAAAAGATAACTGTCAAATGAAGTTGTCATTTCAGAAATTTACCTATTTAGTGCTTTATTATTATTGAAAACTCATTCCTAAATCAGAAATCTTAAAGATGTATTTATAAATACAAATTAATATGAATTAAAGTAAAATAAAGTAACCAATTACAAGGTTAATTATAGTATTATTACAATATTCAATAAATTATTAATTTAGGTACTATTAAATTGTTAGAACTTTAGGATTTAAGATGTTCAAATATTCCTCCAAATAACCCAGGCGATCATAAAATTCTCTTCTTACATTCGCTAGTTGGTAAACTGAAATTCTATTGCATTCGGCAGAAATAGCATTTTTTAACTCGTCTAGATTTGGGTATTTTTTATCCTTGTATATCCTGTTTTTAAATGGCCCCAGAAAAAGAAATCATTTGACGAAATATCAGGAGACCTTGCAGGCGATCATAAAATTCTCTTCTTACATTCGCTAGTTGGTAAACTGAAATTCTATTGCATTCGGCAGAAATAGCATTTTTTAACACGTCTAGATTTGGGTATTTTTTATCCTTGTATATCTTGTTTTTTAAATGGCCCCAGAGAAAGAAATCATTTGACGAAATATCAGGAGACCTTGCTGGCCAATTTACTGTATGATTTACCAATAACGTTTCCGTTAAAACTATTGTCTAAATATTCCCGAACAGCCAGTTTACTATGTGCCGGGCAGCCATTCATTTGGTACCAAACTTCCTGATTTTCCATAACGGCATCATATAAAGCAGGTAAAATATGATTTTCGAGTAGTTTCAAATAATATTTTGCATTTAAATTTCGCGTAAGAAATAATGGCCCGATAATATTCTGTCCGAATATCCCTGCCCAAACACTTACTTTCTGTGGATATTGCGTCCTTGTTTCGACAAACCTGTGTTGATTTTCTTTGTTCCAATATCGATAATTTTGAACATTGGGTTCATTATTTAAGGTAAACGTGCATTCGTCAGTGAAACATTGTTTTCTAAAAATTCCCTATCCGTGTTTGCTCTTTCCATCTTATCAAAACAAAACGCCTGCCGCCGTATTTTGTCCCCATCTCGTAGCTCTTGGTGCTTTTCATATTTTAATTATTTCATCCTCAAGTTTCCTTGTGCTGATCTTTCCATCGTTCTCTTCCACGCACAATAAAACTTCCAAGTCGGTATCATTTCTTGCATCTTCTCTTTGTTCCTGCCTTGCTTCACATCTGCAGTTATTTATTAGGGTACCTTTGGTCTCAAATCTCTGGATATTCCTTGCGATTGTAAATTTTCCAGGTATCGGTCCATTCGGATACAGAGCAGCAAACATGTCCGACACCTCTTGATAACTATTTCCTTAATAATACCATTTAATCATCAATACCTTTTCTTTGGCAGTGTAATTCATGGCTAATATTTTCGATGTAGGTGTGAGTTTTTAATAATAATAATACAGCACTAAATAGATAAATTTCTGAAATGACAACTTCATTGGACAGTTATCTTTTACCTTGACTGGTGCTCATAAGTAAATACAGGGCCATAAGAAAGGAGAAATATTTAAAAAGAAATCGGCGATAACGCGTAAACGGGCTAATCAAAAATATCTAAAGTTATTCTTTTGAATGTGGGTTTTAGTTCTCTTCAATAAACCTAAATAGAATTATTCTCTAAAATAATTATGGAAGCCAATAATTGACCCCATTAAAATGTAAATGGGATTTCTTATGTCCCGCTCGACGATGCGACACCCGGTATACTTCAATTAAAGCAACTACTAAAGCGGATACAACTTCTGGACTTAAAACCATCTCTGCTAGAGTAACTGCCCAACGGCCAACAACAAATAATAATATGATTTAGTTATATATATATATATATATATATATATATATATATATATATATATATATATATATATATATATATATATATATATATATATATATATATATATATATATATATATATATATATATATATATATATATATCATATATATATGTCATATAGGATATGACATTAAATTAATTATAACACTAACTGACAGGTCTGTTGACTGGGACCAAAAGCAAAGGTATGGTTTTAATGTAAAAATTACTTGAAAAAATGTTAGTGTCTTTTTCAAAAGCAAATATCTCCAAAAAACTATTGAGATGAATAAAAAAATTAACTATACAAAAAAGATGCACCTAGATGATCAAATTCCTTGCCTTTTTAACATATTCCACAAGGTGCTGCAAACATTCACCAAAATAAGAACATTTTGTGTTTCCTCGTATAACTGACAGATGGGAACTTTCATTTTTAATTTAAAACGAGACACTAAAATGTCAAATAATTTAACTACAAATTGCTTAAAAGATCATCAAAATCGGTTCACCAATACACAATATATACGATACACTTTCATTTAATAGTTCCTTTAGGTACAAGAAATAAAGTATGTAAACGATTTTAAATATGTAGCCACAAATTATTTTTTTATGTTACGTTATCGGTATCAGGCAAAAAATCGATGCTTACCCACGGCTCATCACCCTAATTCCAACAATTAGTCTGTACAAATCGATTTTCCCGCCTCTTAAGAACCGTAAATAAAAAAGTAGGGTTAGAAACGATAAATAAATAAAAAGGAAAGTCATCGTAGGCGTACGAATACTGATGTTTTCGAACCGAAAAAAAAACGGTCCAAAATTCTATAGATTCCCAGAGTTCTTTTGGGCAGATGTGCACATTGAAAGGAATGACTTGCAGACTGACTTAAACTTTCTATGAAAGCGGGCGTGAATGGCAACATGGCGAGGTATTTCTTTTTTGATTAATGGTTTAATAATTAGGACAAATAGGCCATTGTAGTTTTCTTGCGCGTATTATGTTAATCGTGTCGTATAAAGGTGATAAAATATTATATTCTTGAATAAGAGTCTTATATATATATAAAAAGAGATTAATTTTGGAAACTCAAAGTTTTGCTTATATTTTCTTGGTAAATTTGTATATTTACCTATGGATTAAATATTGAAATAACCGTCCGACATTTTACAGAGTGATTTTTCAATGATATTTTACGTTGAAGAAAGTTGTTCTAAGATGTTTTGTTTTTTAGATTCAGGGTGTCAAGCCAGAGCTACTTCGGATATTTTTATGAAATTTGGTACATGCTTTTTCTCCATTAAGGGACATTTTTCGATGAAAACTATTTTCTCAAATTATTATTAAATAATTAATAAAAAGTATATTTACATATTCATTGTTTTACAAGCAACGAATTTGTAAATATACTTATAAAATAACTAAAATATCTTAAGTATTAGACAGCAAACGAGCAGTATAAAAAATAACATTAGGCTCATTAGACAATGTGGATCAATCCATACTGAAAGAAAACAACAAACGATCAAACAAGAATCTATATTTTTATAGAATATGTACTAATCGGGCGAACACAGAAAAAGCAAAACTATTTTGCCAAGGCTTTGAGAAAAGCCAGTATCTGAGACGGTTTTACAGAGGTTAGTCTCCATCTCCAATATCAGTCGTACAAAAGTTTATGGCACGAAGGGTTGTCGTCTCGGCGCACTTAATGATGAGGGTT